CCCCCCCCCTATTAAGTTACATTATGTGAGTGTAATTAACCTTTTGTTTGTGTCATTCCATTTCTCTGAGAATTATTTATTACTTCAATTATTTATCCTGTTGCACACGGACACCTTTGAGTAATCTAATGTGTAATCTAAAATGTCAAATATAATCATCTGAATTTTTTTAATCTAATTTTTCTAAATATATCGATTTATAAAAATTGATGTTGAATTGAAGAATATATACAAATTATTTTTTCATGATCCCTCATCTCTTCTTCTATATTTTGAGTGCCCACATCACCTTTTGAAAGTAATGAATGTGTCCAAGTCTAAGTTGTAGAACAGCATGCAACCAAATATTTGTATGATATGCAAATATATGTTAAGAAATGTCTTTGTTTTAGGATTTAGTGAATGAAAATCTTTTATATCTTCAATTTCTCCAAATTTAAACACAAGTATTGTTCTTATTTCACTGCAAATTATATGTAACTTGGCCATTATGTTGTTTTTTTTTAGATAATGCCAAGGTTTGAGGTCTCAAATTTTGATGTCCTTAAAAAAAATGTGAGGAAGTTTCTATACAGCTAATTGTTTTTTTTTTTTTTTTATGTTAGCAAGTTATGCACATAGCAAATCCTTGTAAATTATTATTGCTTGTTGTGTAGTGGTTACTTTGCTAGTTCATTGTAGGAGTAATGTTTGACATGATCGACTGAAAGAACAGTTTGGGGAACAGAGCCATTGATTGATTGTTGAACAAACTCATTTGTTATGGTGTAAAAACTTGACACAACTGTTTGTATTAGGTTTAGCTTTGAGAAGAATGGGAATTAACATTTTGAGTGTATCCATTGTTTTTAATTTTTCTGTATTTTGAGTACTTGTTTTTACCTTTTCTGTATTTTGAGTACTTCAACAAGTTAGGATTTAGAACTGAAATTGATTTGTACTGGTTATCCCAAGAAATTCAATATAAAACTTAATAAAAGTGACTAGAATGAACTTCTGAAAACCTCTTTGGTTTAAATCAGGGTTCTCCAAACTTTTCAGCCTGAGGGCTGCATTAACTATCAAAGAGCAGTTTCGGGGGCAGACTAAACGCTCCGGGTCCAATTAAAAAAAGAATCAAAAAATGGATGTTTTAATTATTTATTTAATATTATTTTATTCAGTTATTATTTTTTTTTAATAACACATTAATACATTACACATCAACAGCTGTATTTGTGGGAATGGTGAAATAGTTTCATGGATGCCAAAATTGCAGACATTTCTGGCTTCAGATTTGATAGTTAATGCTGCCCTTTAGATTTGATGTCCCTAACATCAATAGTGACCTGAGATTATCATCGGACAAGTTTGTTCTCAAATTATTCTTCACATATTTCATTCTTGAAATGTTTGTTGTTCCAAAGATTGAAAGGCACCTTGATGCAAAAGTTTTGACATTAGGAAAGTCTTCTTTGGGCAAAAACCTGGTCCCAGTCTTTCTTTGAATTTGAACTTGTCCATAAGGAGGACATTTGCTTGCAACTCAATGACCTCCAACTGCAGTTTATCTGGGAAACTGGCCACATCTGCCTGAAATGGGTTTTGAAACAGTCTCAGCCTCACTTCTTTTGCCTTTGAATCCAAGTCAGAAAACTGCTGCTGAAACTGCAGCTGGAGGTCTTTGATGATCAGGCATGCAAATGACGTGGGGGAACTACGCTGTTGTTTCAGTCATGAAGACCTTGCACTGCTGAAAGTGCATCAATTGTTGGCCTGTACTTGTTCCAAAAACAAGTTGAGTTTGGATCTGAAGGCCTTTAGGTGAGTGTGAAACTAGATTTTTCCTCTCCTGGTAGTTTTAGGTTCAGAAAATTTAAATGATTAGTTAATGTCTGCAGCAAAGGCCAATTTCTGTTCTCACTCTTCATCAATGGCTGTGGCTTGCCTTTATTTTCCAGGAAGTCACCTATTTTTTTTCTTAACTTAAATACTCTTCTTCTTCTATATCTTAAGGGCCCACGATCAATTTATTGATCATTTTGGCTCCTATGCATGTAGATGGGATTTGCCATGTTTCTGTTACTGGTGGTGATGAGGAAATTATGCACTAGGGGTTTGAAGGCTTGAGGCAATAGACACAAATGTGTCTAGTGTTGTCGCCTCAACTGTTCCTTTTGAAAGATGGTTCCAGTCCCTGATTGTCTTGGGCAGGAATGAGCAGCTCCTATACTGGCTTCTTGCTGGTATGAGCCTGAATTGCCTGTCATGGCCTCGTCGCTGTCTATGGGGGAGAGGGACGAGTTTCTGTTTAATACTGGAACAGTGGACCAGCCCATTATTTATCTTGTACATCATGGAGAGCCTGGATTGTCGTCGTCGTTTCTCCAATGGTGACCAGCCTAGTGTTTCTAGCATGCTGCCAACACTAGAGGTATTCCTGTAGCGGTTTAGGACAAAGCGTGCTGCTCGTCGCTGGACCGCCTCCAACCTGTCAATGCTCTTCTGGGTAAATGGGTCCCAGACTGAAGATGCATAATCTAAAATCGGACGGATAAAGGCTTTATATGCTCTTTCTTTCACACAGGAGTTGCCAATCTTTAGATTTCGCCTTAAGAACCCCAAGGCTTGGTTTGCTTGGTTACATACATTGTTAATATGCTCGTCCCAGCGGACCTCTCTTTGAATGGTAACACCCAGGTACTTTACGGAGGAAACTTGCTCAAGAATATGGCCGTGCAGTTTGTATTGGTAGTGTAGAGGAGTACAACTTCTAGAGATTGATAGTGTCTGGCACTTGGCAGGGTGAAATTCCATGTCCCAGCTCATCTCCCACTCAGCTAACAGATTGAGATCCTGTTGTAGCTGGTCCTGGTCAGATCTGTTGGCGATCGTCCTATACACTGCTGTGTCATCTGCAAACAGTCTTGCCTGTGATGTCAGTTTCTCCGGTAGGTCATTAATGTATGCTAGGAACAAACAGGGGTCCAGGACTGATCCCTGGGGGACCCCTGACTTCACATTGACAAAGGAGGAGCTTGTACCGCCCACCACTACTGCTTGGCGTCTGTGGCTGAGGAAGCTAGAGATCCATGTTTTAGTGGTGCCTTGAATCCCATATATCTGGAGTTTGTGTAGAAGCAAACTATGATTCACCCGGTCAAATGCTTTTGCGAAGTCCATTACTAGCACGTCAGTCTGCTTGTGGTTCTCCAGATTGGTCATCAAGTCTTCTACAAATTCGAGAAGCTGGGTCTCACATGACCTATTGACTCGGAAGCCATGTTGACAGTCATTGAGTATATTGAGTATACTCTGCTCAGAACTTTCTTACAACTTAGCCATTCTACTGCTGTGTAATATGGTAAATCTTGCGATTCTGTGTCTGTATCTTTTAACAGGTCTCTGAACTGTCTATGGTTGAGCCCATGTGACCTTATTAAATTTAACATCTTCACCACAGGATTCAGTACACTGCCAATGCCCAAATATTTAGCACTCAAAGCTTGCTGGTGAATAATACAGTGCAGGAACATTGGTTATAGAATGTTTTTCTCATTACAAATCTGCTTCACTTGTCCAACCAAGCCTTTCTTTATGCCACTCATGTTCTTTCTTCCATCAACAGGCAGGCAACTGAGGTTATTTTAGTCCAGCTCAAATTATAATGGGCATAAGTTTTTTTTTCCAACTCATTGAATATATCCTCTCCAGTAACAGTGCCGTGCATGCTATACAGGGAAGCCAGTTCTTGTGTTATGTTCATGTCTTCATTCACACCTCTAATGAAGACAAATAGTTGAGAGGTGGAACGGCTGTCTAGCGATTCATCCATTGCAATTGAAAAATGGTGAAACTCGCTTGCATTTTTCACTAATTGAGTCCCAATGTTTTCACCCATGTCTGCGGACAATGGTATTGCACCCAAAGCTACATTTTCAAATTGTTTTGACTTTTCTGGGCAAAGTTCCTCAGCCACCACCAACAAACATTCCTTCAATACTTCACCATCTGTAAAACGTTTTCCACTTCTAGCCAGGACGCAGGCAAATTTATAACTGGCCTTAGTTAAGGATTGATTTTTATTTGAGGATTTACTGAACAATGTCCTCTGAGATGTGAGTTGATTTTGTAATTTAGAAAATTTTTCGGCACGGACTTAACTCTCCAACTAAGAATATTTCTCCTGATGTCTGCTTTGATGATGACAGCGCAGGTTGTATCCTTTCATCACAGTCAGGGTGTCGTTGCAAATCACCCACAATGCTTTATCACCGGATTTGATGAAGAAGTATTTCAAACTCCATTCTTCTTGAAATTGCAGACACTCATCGTCTATTTTTCTTTTCCTCTTCTTTGCCATTAAAATAAAGGGAATTCAAAATGAATAAATAGTGAAACTGAAAATATCTTGCACACAATATGGCTCAAAAAACCTGATTATGCGAACTAATTTCGGAGCAGTCATAGCTGCAAATAATCCAAAAACAATTTTTTTAACATTCTTATGATTTCTTAAGTTAATCTTACCTGAACTGAATATAGTGTGCAAATGTATCCACTTATGGTAAAGAGGCTGTTGACTTTTAATGTTTCCTCTTCAAAATATTCCTAAAATTCTTACAAAACTAACGACATTCCCAATACTTTAAACACACTGATAAGTAATTACATGATGGAAATTATCACTAAATAAAATAAGAGTGCAACATGTTTCGCAATCAGACGCTAACTGAGACTGACACCAACACCTCCTCATAGCAGCAGTCAACCGCGACTGGCAAACTGTGATCAAAAGAATTTGTTATAAAACAAG